TTAAAATTGATATTTTAACATTTTCTTTTTCCCCACCAAATTGAGCTTGGCTCTTGGTGATATAGGGTCACATCCACAAAGCTTTCTTGGCAACTGTCCTTTTTTGACATATTTTTTCAACTTCCAATAGTATACAATCCTGAGATTTTCTGATGCTCTTCCACCTAGTCAGACTCTGCTTATCTTTTTGAGATCAAGAGTAGTTAGATGTTGCTTCTTGCAGAAGCTTTAGCATTTATTTTTCATTCTATGGTGATAGGTCATCATTATGTGAATTTTCATTGAGTGACATTTAATTATCAGGGTAGAGACAGGAGTTTTCTGTTATCATTTTGTTCTTACTGGAAAGCAACATTATAATTCTTTTGTTTTTTTGTTTTGGTGTGGTGAGGGGTTCCTAGCTTTCAAGTAGGCCCTAGTAGCTTCCATGTGATTTCCAAGCAGTCTTTCATCCATCAGTTTCAATAATGGTGTTTAGATAAGCCCGTTCTGTGTTGGTTTGTTTCCTCTTGTATTTTAGAGTTCCTGGTTTTAATTAAATAATGGCCTATAATGAGTTACAATTTGGAAAAATTAGGAAAGCAAGCAATATACTGAGAAATAAATGCCCCAATATATTCCTTATATAGCACATAGCATTTATTCTTGAAAAATGCTACATTTTGCCTTTAAATTATATTTATATTATAAATTCAGAGGAAATACCATTTTTAAATTCGGTTATTCATGCAGGAATTAATGTAAGCAACTGTGGATGGTATCCAGAAATAATAGTGGACATTAGTAATAGCAGTATAAAGAAAGATCCCCATTTTATCTATGAAGGAAAAAATGGAAACAGAAATGTAGAAAAAAGAAAAGACTGACTTTCTAATCAAGGCCTTTAATTTATCCTTATAAGTCCTTCCAGGGAATGGAGCACAAATAAATTGTGGCAGTCTCTAAATTACATGCTTTGTATGTATGAGACTCCAGATGAATTACCAGTGGAGTTGTGTCTTGTTGTTATTAAACCTTCTCTCACAGAGTCACTTATGGAGAAGAACAAGTTTTATACACTCCGCAGAAATGAGAAGTGACATGGAAAGACATTATTAGCTGAGAAAAGAATCATTTCCTTCTCTACAAATACTGTATATAAAGCTTTAAATTGTTAAAATACTTTCTCCTCAGGCTTAGTAAGGAAGAAACAGCTCTTGCCAGAAGAGCTCTGCTTCACAATACCATTCTCTGTGAAAAAATAGAATTAGCCACAAATTGGTGGCATTTATTAGGTACTTAAGAAGCATAGAGCTCTCTCTCTGTTACGAATTGAGCAGCAATATATTGAATATTTTTCTTGTTAATAGTAAGTATTGTGTGTACGTTGGAGAATCTAGCATGAAGGTAGTTAATCTTCTGTTATAAATTTAACATGTTGAGTTTAGTTCAATTGTAAATATTAATAATAAAACAGTTTTTAAGTTTAGTAACTAAATTGCAAATGTTGCAAGTTTTGCACTCAGTAAAAATACAATGTGCTGCCATATTACCCTTCTATTGAAATTGCTTTGATGATGAATTTATATTTTTCCAAGTTTCATCTCCAAGAGCTTAATAATTCATATGATTTAGCAGGATCCAATCTGGATCAGTCACAGAGACGAGAAGTTTTGTCTTCCGAGCTTTTGGACTTGTGTTAGAACTTATCTTCAGAAAACTTCTCTCTAGTGTGCTATTCTGTGCATAGTATTTTTTTTGCCACACACATAATACACACAGTCTGCTAGAGAGAAGTTCCCTGAAGATGGACTCTAGCACGAGTCCAAAAGCTTGGAAGACAAAACCTCTGGTCCCGGTGACTGATCCATTTTGGATCTTGCAACATTATCCTGGGACATGTATATTCGCCTTCATTCATATGATTTACTTTCTGTCTTGGTTGTTGTTTCCTGACTTACTGAAAAATGTTCATTAAGAAAATCCATATTTGAGCATGCATTTGATCTTAATGAGTTAAAACTTGATGGGTGGATATTTATTATATCAATTAGAGAATTATACTAGCTTCATAACTATTCTGATTCTAACATGTTCTAGTTCTAATTCAATATATATTTGCAGAGCTGCACTTACTAGAGTTACCAATTGACAACTAGCAACCTGTGACTCTATCAACTGCCCTAAAAAGATATCAAGTGGGTAGTCTCAAATGTAGCTGAATGAGAAATCTGAAACAGGGATTTAAAAATGAAAAATGCTCCTTGAATCATAGTGTGTAAGTCTGTGTAAGGACCCTGTGTAAGTCTCCAGCAATATGAAAAGGAAGAGACAACTACTTTAACTGGGTTAAAATCAAATCACCAGGACCAGATGGATTATAGCCAAGGTTCTGAAGGAACTGTCAGACGTGATCTCAAAACTACTGAACCATGGAGAAGGGTTGATGTAGGTTGTATTAACAGAGAGATAAAATCAAGATCATGTGAAGTGTTAATACCACTTTATAATGCTTTGATAAGACCACAAATTGCATTCAGTATTGGTCGTCATGTAAAAAAGATGTTGAGATTTTAGAAAGAGTGCAGAGAAGAGCAACAAAGATGATTAGGGGACTGGAGACTAAAACATGTGAAGAACAGTTGCAGGGATTAAAATAACTAGGGGTGACATGATAGCAGTGTTCCAATAACTAAGGGCTGCCACAAAGAAGAGGGGATCAATTATTCTCCAAAGCACCTAAAAGCATTACAAGAAGAAGTGGTTGAAAATCAAGGAGAGAAGCAACCTAGACCTAAGAAGAAATTTCCTGACAGTTAGAACAATTAATCAGTGGAATGCTTAGCCTCCAGAAGTTCTGGGTGCTCCAACACTGGAAGCTTTTAAGAAAAGATTGGAAACCTTTTGTCTGAAATGGTATAGGGTTTCTGTCTGAGCAGGGGCTTAAACTGCAAGGCCTCCAAGTTCTTTTCCAACTCTGTTATTCTGTCCAAAATGGGTTTCCAGTTGCTTGGGAAAAATTAGATCAATGCTAGTCGCTCCTTAGCCAATAGAAAGGATGTTGGACATTTTAATTCAGAAATGTCTAGAAATCCAATGTTCTCCACTCATGCTATTCAGAAGCTATTCAGAAGCTAGTCTTATTGAATTCAGTAGGAATTACTGCAGGGAAAATGTGTACAGGGTTTCAGCCAATCATTGCTTTAATACAAGCAAGTCAGCAAGGAACCATTAATAATAGATCTGGCAGGAGTATCGCATTTCATCTATCTTTTTTCTGGAAGTCAGCTGGCAATCCTTTTCTCCTATCTCTATGCCAACAAAATATGTATGTATAAGAGTAAATAACTGTAAAGTTTAAGTTTTTGCAGCTGAGTTGGATAACCAGAAATGAATTACAGCCTTTTGTAAATCATCTAAATGGCTTTTAGAAAGAAAACTTAAATATTACAATAAATGGCCAATTTAAATAGTTTGTAATTAAGATGCTGAATGATAGAAATTCAGGTCTAGGTTTAATCTCAGGGCAGGAAGCTCAACAGGTGGTTTGGCGTAAATCCTTCCATCTTGGTTTAACCTATCTCACTGGATTACTTTTGTGGGAATATACTCTAACATAAAATGAATGAGCTGGAATATAATCCATTTAGGGTTTTGGATCAATTAACCTAGTATTCTCCTATTTTTAACTAAATAATTATAAAAAATTGCAGATGCTATCTTAGGATAGCTATTTTCCTTTCTTTGCACACATTCTCTCTCGTACACACACACTCATACTCAGAGGGTTTGAGAGTTATGTTGTACTGACCTTCCATTACAAAATAGCAGATGATAATTCATTAATTTAATATTGAGCTTTGACTTCAAAAAGCTAAACTGAATATTGGATGAAAAACTATAGCAAATCCCAGGCAAAATCTCAAAAAACAATGGCAACCCCGTTTCCAAACTGCTGTCTGGAAAAGAAGAAGCAGAAGAAAAATAAAGGGATCTGTCCATGGAATCATCAAAAGTTGAGCTTTATGTTGGGAGGACACAATCAGACAATTTCAATACTAACACCAAATGGAACTACAAAAACGCAACCCAGCCAAGAACAAAAAATGAATGTACTTGATGTGTGCAACTAAAAATTGAGCCCAACAACAACCCCACAAAGTTGAATAATCTCAAGATGGAGGGGTTGAATAACCCTCCAACAGGAACAGCAACAGATTTATACCTTATGTCAAGCTGCATTCCTATATACTTTTCCTTATTTATTTATTTGATTTGTCAATTGCTTACAAGATAATAAGTGTAAGTATATACATAGTTATGAATACATGAAATGGGTACATATAAGAAAAATAAAAGAAACAACAGGACAAGGACGGTAGGCACGTTGATGCGCTTATGCACCCCCCCCTACAGACCTCTTAGGAAAGGGGTGAGGTCAATAGTAGACAGTCCTTCAATGTTGCTTTATTCACCTCCAATAGATTGATTTACATATTAACCCCTTTTTCCTGAGCAGTTGGGGATCGATGTGTAAACATTATTTTAGGGCTTATTAACCCTGAATTCAGTGGATGTTAAACTTTTCATGCAGGAGTTAAGAAGTGATGTACGCTCTATGATGTAAACTTATAGAATTAGGCACACAGTGAAAGGCAAGATAGTTCCTGTACTCTCTTGCTGCAGGCTCTCAGGAATGTTACGAGCAGAACATGCCTTTCTTGGACAGCCACATTTGGAGGATAGTTTACACTTGGCTGCAAAACCACAATGATATCTATTTATGCTTGGATAGCAAATAAACTCTTTCCTTTCATTTTGAAGAGATAGGTTAAAGCACGGGAGCTGCACGGGCTCTCCAAAAGAGAGGTGGAGTAACTGTGGGGTGGGGGTGGGAAAGAGGAGGCAAAAGGGAGTGGATCTGGCTGTTTGTGATTGGTAAGCTGTGCAAATGCATTTGCCAGCAGGACTTCAATGGAATGTGAAACCAAATCAGTTACAAGTTAAAGATAGACACACAGACTACCCAGCATCTTGGGCAGGGGTTTAAATTTGAGAGTCTTTTAGATCTCTGGATTTCTGGAACTTTCGGCTTGCTTTCCCCCCAGGATTTAGTTCCCATTTTTTCAGACAATGCATTGGAATTTTTAGGAAGGGTAAGCTGATCATGGTGCAAACTACAGGGTAAGTAGCAAGTGTTTTATTTAAATTCCGTGCTTTGCCATGCTTGACTTCCTCTGCTCTAAGCATTTCATAGTCATACTTAGAGATAATGTTCCAAGGTGGTATTTTATGAGGCTCAAAAGGGGTGCTTTGGCAGGCTGACACCATGATAGAACTCTGTTTAAAGATTCTTTTTTCTTCCCTAGTCCTAACAGTGTAGTTTAAAAGTGGCATTTAATTCCAACCTCATTTAATTTTCCTAGAGAAATGTGAGTTCTGTTTCACATGTTGCACTGAAAAATCCCAGTTTTTTTTTCTTCCTATTTTACTACCCCTCTCCCTGAGTTTTTAAAGCATGGCTCAAATAGCGGGTCCTTGTAATATCAGCCTGGTGCTTCTGGTTCTATCTTGGCTCTTTTTTGGTATCATTCTGCTAATTGCAATTATATTTCAGTAGTCTGAAAAAATAGGTTTTTCCTCTAATTCTCCTACTTAGCAATCTTCATCTTTTGTATCTTGTATCTTGCATTATGTATTTTATGTTGCATTAAAAATATGTATTTGACAAAGTAGAATTTGTAAAAACATCAGATAATATACTTAACAGTAGAAGTTTGCAATGGCCTGTGGAAGGTGGATTTTATGAAAACACTGAATATTTTTTTAGAATTCTAAGTAGGAAAGGACCTCTGACATACTTCCATGTAACCCAAATTAGTATATTATTCAGCTTATTGTGTATTTCCATATTATAGTTTTTTTTAAATTGTCAGACTTTTATTTAGTCATTGCAATTTATAAAAAATGTTACATATCTCTATCTCTATCTCTATCTATCTATCTATCTATCTATCTATCTATCTTCATTCTATGCTTGCCATGTTTGAAGTTCTGTGTAAAAAAGTTTCTTATAAACAGCTGAAGGAGAATAAAGTGTTTCAGGTTTGTTTTGGTGTGTATGCTTTGTTTTTATGGCCAATATGGATTTCCTAGTCCTCTAGTTAATATTTCAAGCATTATTTATAGTCATCAGAGAATATTTCCCTAAAATATAAAGTGCCATACCTGACTACAACTGTTCTTATTTGATGGAAAAGTTTATGTATTTAACATTTGGTTCCTTTTGCGAGTTGTCTAATTCCAACTTGCCATGCTCTGGCAAATTTTTAGATATAATAAGAAAAATAAACGTTTAAAGTTTAGTTATTTTTCTTCTTCTTCCAGTTATTATGAATGAGAGGAAATTTGAAAAAAAAAACATTTATAAGAATAAATTAAAAATTCACAGGGAAAAAATGGAGATTATAACTGTGATACTATGTATGTTTGGAATAACAAGAAATGTCCAGAAGGATAATTTGTGCCAGAAGCTGGAGGTGGGGAGAGAATCCTTCTTTACATGTTTTCTTACATATAGGGAGAGGGGTGTGCTGAAGATCCAGCTGAAAATCTTTCAACTACTCAAATGAACAGAGCAAATACAGTTTATGTGCATTCGGGTATGTTTGGAGGGAGATTATGCCATACCCTAGGCTGTCAACCTGGTGGCCTGCAGGCTGGATGCATCACATACAAGGCACGCCCACCCCACCTCCGCAAAGGGAAAACACATTGTAAAACGTCATATGACCACAACGTGACGCTGTGAGTTTGACACCTGTGCCCTAGACCCATAGTATACGACCTGCTACCTACCAGATGTGTCAAAACTGTGGTCCAGTGAGATTTGATTCCAAGGCCAAAGAAAAATTCAAAAATATAATAAAACAAAAAAATAGCTGTTTCTGGCTACAGTAAATCTTGCCTTTAGCAATATCTCAAATGTGACATTTTGTGTAGCCTTTATGACCTAGAAAATAAGTATTCTATGTCATAAGACTACAATAAATGTTTCCATATATAACTTTTTAAATGTGTATTTGAAGCAACATCCATCTCACACTTTTTCCCTGATTCTTATAGTATTTGTCAACAAAACAAAATATAAATGAACTATAAATATAAGGTAAAGATAAATGTAAAATGTAAAATTATAAGTAAACTGTTAAGCAGTTTATTAGTTTATGTCTAATTCTGCTGAACATTTGATATGAAATGGAAAGCAACTCATAATACACTTACAAGTTAATGTCACTTTTCCTTTGCTATTAAAACAGGCCAAAACTGTAAATTACTGTATCCTGTATTCTAAAGAACCCATTAGTTTTGTAATTTATCAAGGATTCCTTTGTTTCCATGAAGATAGTTCAGCCACTAAACTGAATTTCTCTTGAGTGAATAACGGAGGCAGCAAAATCCAACTAATCTGATCAACATTTTCTGTATTGAGTGCAAATAATGGAACATGAGTTGGAACACATTGTAATGTGAAAGGATCTCTCCTCAGAGAAACTGAAGCTAATCTATTTGAAAGTAAAAAAAAGTTTAAAAATCACTAGGCTAGACAATCCTTACCTCCAAGGCTGCCCATGACTACAATGATTATGAATCCAATTTGTGGTGGAAACAAACTTACTGTTGCTTGTAATATATTAACTGCTGCCTGTGGGCTTGCTATGATGCTTAGATGTTTAACTTTTTTATAGTATGAGATCAAGTGACTTTATTACTTACTGAAATCAGTAATCATTCTTACACTAAAATAACATGAAAAAACCTTTAGCAGTAATTTTAGGATTTTTTCTTTGGCAAATTGTTTGCATCCGTAACCATTTTATATATAGCTCTAGAAAATATGTTCTAATCCACTTTTGTTCATCACGTTCTAAACTTGGCCAGGTTTTAAGTGGGTTTTTATATCTCAAATCTTTGGGCTAAGTTAGCAAAGATTGGCCAGTACCCACTGTACTGTACCTATTTCACAAGTCATTAATCCTGTCTTTTTCTCTGTGATCTGTTTATAGGTTAATGAGAAACTATACAGCAGGGGAAAAATTCCATAGAAAGGAAAAACTGATAAAAATATTTACCAAAGAGGAATGGATAGAAATAAATCAGATGGGCACAGTCCTGTCCCAGTTTATCATAGTTTACATTTTCTTTTACTAAAGTTGGCAAAATTGTCAAAATCCAGTATGACTCAGTGTGCAAAAACTTTGTAAATACATGGCTGTAAAAGTATATTTGAGTATGTTATGAGTTGTTTTCAGAAACTGTCTCACATTTTAATGATTTAAACTCCAGATCTACAATTCTGTGTAAGAAAAAATAGTTTGTACATTCCTGAATATAATAATGTTCTGTGAAAATAGTCCAATCTTTCACTCAATTTTTTGACCAATGTAGATGACTGTCACGTTATGCTTGTTCATCATGCATGAAAAAGTACTATCCAGCTTTGATTATAAGAACTATTAAACTAAAATTGCTTTTTTAGAGTAGAGTTGATATTATGCAATTATGGAGTTATTAGTTTTACTGTCTACAACAATTTCAGTTGTTTGTTGTATTTTCAAATTGGTGCTTCTGAAAACTCTTCCTCATTTGTTGTTTAATCCCCACATACATGTTTTTTACTATGATGATAAAATTACATAAAATCATAAGAAATTTACAGAAGATTAGAATATCTAAGTGACTGGAAAAAAATTGTAGCTGGAGGCAGAGACACTATTAATTATTAATTATTTTTATGCTGCTCTTCCTTCCAAATAATTCATATGATTATCTCAAAATTCTGAAATAGGGAGTTGGAGGCTGTGAGGCTCCCAACTAATGTAGGGTTTTAAAGGTATTAGGACCTTGAATTGAGTTTAGAAATGGAACAGCAGCTTCTACAATATTCAGGAACACATATATTTGCTTGAACAGTCTCCTAAAAGAAGAAAACACATGGAAAGTAATAGTAAAACTAAAGGTTTCCCTGTTGTTTCTGGCTCTAGGCTTTGGTGCTCATCTCTTGGCCGAGGGAACCAGTGTTCTGCGAAGACAATTTCCATGGCTATATGCCAAAGGCACACAGAATTTGTTACCTTGCCACTGAAGTGGTACCTATTAATCTACTTGTATTTGCATGCTTTAGAACTGCTAGGTGGGCAGGAGCTGGGGCAAGTAACAGGAGTTCACCCTGTTGCGTGGAGCTCTGGTCTCGAACCTGGGCTGTCAACTCTCCAGCTGACAAGCTCAGCATCTTTAACCGCTGAGCCATCATGCCCCCTGGAAAGTAACCTTATCCATGTCTAATTAAATTAAAGCAAATTAAAATTACATCTCAGTACTGTTTTATATTCTAGTCCTAGTTTCTTATTGTTGATGATCCCTGGTTTGCCATGTAGAGGTCAACTGTGCCTTTGGCCTAAAAAGATAGGGTATTTTTGTCCTTCAATCGATGAGGAGTTAATAGGTAGAAAAAAATGTATCTCGCTTTTCCATTGCTCTTGAAAAGTAGTGTTTTCTTCAGTCAATTGTATTATTGGAATATTAGTTGTTATCTTTTCTTTGCTTAGCTTTCAAGGTTAGGGTTAGTTTAGATCAGTGGTCCATTGGTGGTCCATGAGAAAAATTTTGTGGTCCGCAGAGAAATGTCACCCCCAGAGCACCCCCCCAAAGCAATTAATCCAGGCTGCATGGGAACACAAGGCTGCGCCGCCCACATGGCCTGCGGGAACCCGCCCCGCCCACTCACTCCTTACCTGGCAAACTTGCCTGCTAAGTTGCTATTTTTCCTTTTTTTTCTGACCATCAGATGTTCTGCTGTGCTGGCAAATCGTTGGATTTCTTGCTTTCTAGCTAATCTTTAGATCTTTGGCTCTGCTTTTAAGCAGAGATGAACCTTCCTTAGGACTGAAGCTTCTATTTGTCAATGCAGACTCAGGTAGCTGATGGCAGAAAGATAGATCTCTGAATGAATCTGTGATTCTGTGAGCAAATCAATCTGCCTGCCTGCCTGCTTTGCCTGATTTTGAGTAAAAGTTGCTCTTTTTTAAAAATAAAAAACAATATTTACATTAATATTTATAATATTTACATACAAGCCATGCCCAGCCAGTCACATTACCACCAAGCCACACCCACAAATTAGG